CTCAAGTAGTTTTGTGGCTAAATTCATGTACCAGCGTGACCCTTAAAAATGTCATTTGAACTCCACTTGACGCCAGGCGAAGACCAAAGCAGAACACAGCTGATGTCTGTGAAAATTGAGCAGTTAATTCTAAAGGCTGCTTCCAGCTGAAAGCATGGTGAACTGGTACGCTGCGATTCCCCAGTATCGTCAACGTACATTCGGATGGTATGTCCTGCAAGCGATCATCTAAGTCCAAAGTCATGGTATGCCATGCGATGACTTCCGATGACTTCACCTTGCTTCATGAAAGTAAATGGTAGGCATGACATTTGACTCGAGCCGGCTTTAATCTGCGGACTCACGGAAGGCTGTGCAGAGACAGAGAAAGCACAATGATTTGAACTCATTCAGGTTGGCCTGACTGATTATCCGCAAGGAGACAGCAGAGCATAGCCAGGCGTTAGTTGCTGACCACTTATGGGCTAGTCCGTCCCGGTGGCTCAGTTGGTTGGAGCGCCTGTCTTCCGATCCACCCACCCGTTGCGCGGTGGGTTCGAGTTGCTTTAGGGCGCTCGCTATTTGCCCTTGACGGGTATGGCCTGCGGCCGGTGGCAGCGGTCGCGCTAGAGGTCAGTTGACGTCAGAGGGCAGGACGGACCGTGCCGAGCATTGCGGCACGTTAAGCTTCCGCCACTGAATTCTGCCGTTGCCTGGCATTGCGTGGTCGGGTGGTGGGGGTCGGGGCTCATACATTAAGCACTGCTTAGCCTGAGTGCTGATCTCAGAAATCCATCCATTCAAAGGATTCAGATCAAATTTTTAAAAACCGGAAGGATTTTTGCCTCGCGACACGGATGTCGGACCAGCAGAGGTTTACCTGCTCTCTCTCTTCGCTGGGGATGGTGGCGAAACCACCCAACGCTGGCGGGACGTTCGTGCCGGGGGTTTCATGAAGACACATTGTTGGCTGTCTCGGCGGAGGACTGAAACAGCCAGGCTTTAGCCAAACAGCCCAGGGCAATCAAATGCTGATATATGCGAGGAAAAGCCGCATTAGACAGACGTAATGTACTGGGTAGTGATTAGCATAGCAAAATGTCGTTTAGGTGGAACTGGAATGTGATGACAGAAGTGAATAATCCATCACTGATGACATTTGAACTCCATTTACAGCTCGCTACCACCCAAATTATATCCATTTTCGTTTGTGATTCAGTGTCAAAGATGTGGTTACCCATTTTGTATGCATTGCCATCATAATTAACCCTACAGAGTCCAGGCCCACACCTTCAGCAGCAAACGTGCTGGTGCTTGCTTGTACCACGTCTGATCCCGGTAAATCGACGTTACAAAATGGTCGCTGTCGTTAAAATACCTACAACGGGTTGGGCCTCCCAAGCACCGCTTTTGTTTAAATTCAAATTCGCAAAAAATTGCGTTGGATTCGATGAGCCTGTCATGACTCATTTGATGCCCATCCTTCCCATATTTCTTTTTGCTGCAGCAATTCAACAAAGTGTGACCCTTATCAGGGTCCATTGGAATACGAGCACGCGCTAGCGGATTATAAAGACAGTGTTTGCATTCATAATCGTATAGCCGGAGAAAAGCGCAAGAAGGCCTCAATTGTTGAAGATGCTTAAAAGCTGAAGCCCCTTTTGGAATCGATTTTTTTTTTGCACGCAAGGGAAAGTATAAAAATGCGTCCGTAGACCAAGCCGCTTAAGCTAAAAAACTATCGCAGGAGCTTCTTCTTCTCGAATACGATAAGTTCGAATAGCCGTAATAAGCCCAGCTCCACCATCAATTGAAGAACGTACGTGACTGATGTTGCAGCTTACATAATTATCCCATAGTACTCAAACTCGTCTGTAAATTTAACGTCCTGCGGCTCCCTTAACAATGGTTGCATATCCCTGAAGTTGGCACCAACTTAACAACCGCCGGCTCCATAAATACTTAAAGACACGGTCGTTTACGAGACCCTTACATCGGTCAGTGAATATTCCACTTTCGACACAACGCAAGTTCGCAAAGAGCAAGTTCGCAAAGAGCACCCGATTCCGGATGATCAACAGACAAACTGCATTATCGCGGTAGCGTTACGTGATCTTAAGTGTGCTGGAACCAGGCCGAGCACGTAAATTTGGAAATCGGGGTGCACTATTGAAATGGCTTAAGCGTCACTGGATGTGGATCGGTGACTTGGCAATGTAAGAGCAAGCAGAGACCAATCTCAAAAAGCAAAGAACGAGCTGGCGTCAAAGGATCCTGGCCCCCGGAACCAATGGCCTGGTTCAGATAAAAGGCCCACCCTCAAATTAGAACACGCGGCCTGGAGCCACTTTATTTTGGGATTGCCCCTTTTATCGCCATGTTTCAAAACAAACACAGCTCTGCTTGAAAAACTAGTTGCAGGCGAGGGTGTAGTTGGAATCCTGCTGCACACTTGACAAAACAAAGGCGCGCACAATTTTGGACCAAGCTTAAGCATTTGTTGCTGTTTGAATAGTGATCTGAAAATATGTGCTCCCAGCAATTTGACACAGCGCAGATATTGCCGGCCCAGCTAACTCTAACTCTGTCATGTATTAGGTCCAAACTGTCTCTCATGATTTATTTTGGCGTACGGCTGACTGGGTTCGATGAACTTGAACCTCATGACTGATTTTGAGTGCGATTTCTTCTGGGTTTTTTTTTGGGGGGGGGGGAATTCAAGCGTCTTTTACCGTTTAAGCAATAGCTTAAATGGGCGCGTATTTCCTGATCTCCCTAACCAAAGCCACGCACAAATTCCTGTCTTGACCTTTGCATCATTTACGCACCGAAGGATCCCGGAAATTTGAATAGCAATCTGGTTATTAGCAGCACCATTCCGCACAGCAAAAAATTCGGCCAGACCATTCAGTCTAGAATTGGGCCGTCCAATTCGTGTATAAGTCTTTTTAACAGGGTTCATAGCAATTCAGATCCTATCTGACCTTACTCGGGCACTCCTGGACGATTCACGGCACCTGTCTATACTAATCATGTATTTAAGTCCGGGGCAAAGTAGACTAAAACTCCCAGGACAACTCAACGTGGCTTCACATTAAATCTCATTTACATTCTACAGAGGGTCATGTATAAGAGGGCAGGGATTGCTTTGCATACCGGCAGGGCCAGTAATTATAACACTGTCCTATGTTTTGAAAGCAACTAAGGTGCCCTGAGTGTCCAAAGGGCCCTTCAGCGGTAACACGTCCTTCGCGGCTAAAATGGGAGATAGCGTACAAAGGGTCAGGAGGGATATTCAGGACTCTGAGAGCCTGAAGGGGCCCTGAACGGCATGTAAGACTCCTGAGAATCCAGAAGGTATCTCAATGACCAAAGGGCTCTTCAGTAGCCAGAGCGACCCCTCAGAAACCAGAAAACGTCGTGAGTAACTCAATGGGCCCTTAGTAGCCATAACAACTGTGAGCTGAGATGGAGCCTTGAGCGTTCAAAATAACTTCTACGAGTCCAGAAAGCCTCCAAGCGTTCGAGGGGCCCATAAGAACCCAAAAGGACTGTTTGGCGAGGGGCTGGGATTGTGGTCGGCCAAAATGGCGATGACTGGCTGAAAGGCCTTGAGCATCCAGCTAG